CAACTAATAGTAATAGAAGGTTCTAAATAGGAATATTTTCTCCTAATCTGTAATTTTATGCACTTTAGGGATTCAATACAAATGGGGTGCAATTGATCTACTGTCAATAAGTTTTTTTTTATTTTTTAATGATAGCCAAAACCATTGTAGTTGCTTTTCCATAAAAAATTTAAATTTTTATCATTTCCTTTCATTTTAAATCTTTAAACAAAATTTTGTTTGTCACTAAGTATATTTAATAAACTTGTAGTGAGACAATTAAATATTTTGGCTCGATTATCAGTGAAGATGGCTCCAGAATAGAAATGATTTCCAGAGCAGTGCAAACAAAGGCAGTTGTCACAAAACTAAAAACATTTATTTGGAAAGACAAAAACATCGGCTTGAAATCAAAGATCTGATGGTTACGTACATTGGCCTTTTCAGTATTTTCTACACCTGTGAATCTTTGACATTAACAGCAGAATTACAGCAAAGAATATAAGCATTAGAAATGAGGTGCTACAGAAACATCCGAGGCATCTCTTATGTAGATCACATCACAAATAATGCAGTGCGAGACACCATCAAAAATGAAACAAGGCCATTAGAAGACCTCAGAGTGCTAGCTGTATACCACCGCTTCCTCAGATCAATGGTGAAAAAAGACTTTTAGTGCGTAAAGCCTTAGGGTCTTGGCAAAGATCATCCTCCTTTGAAAATTGTCATCTGGCACTATAAATTCACAAATAAAGAACTGTACAAAATAACAGAAACCAAATCATTTGAAGACTACCAACAGCAGAAACAACTAAAATCAATGACACATGTAACTTAAATAGAAAATAATGACTTAACGAAGATGTTAACGTTCCACATGACTTCAAATAAAAGGTTACAAACGAAACTCCCATCAATACTGGAGAGAGAGATAACATCGACTGTACTTTAGAAATCTAATTTCCTGAAAAATTGACATAAGAGAAATATTATATAAATTTCAACTGAAAGCAACATTGGCTCCTTGTTTAATGAATGTTAGATGTTTCCTTATAGGGAAACGGGTAATATTACCATTACCATACCACAAACAAGTAGAGACAGTTGAAATGGTCTGGTTACATCCCAAGAGTATCTTTCCACAACCATCCAAAGAGGTTCCACCTAAAACAAAACCAGAATCAGAAAAACGAAAAAAATGGCCTGACAATGGCACTCAGAGACTTTTGTTAGCCGGCGTGTGTGTCAGACCTGTCCACCTTGGGTGGCCCTACCAGGAACGAAGTTCCGGGTGGCATAGCTCTGACACTACCGTTTACACCCCCCCTACCGACTGTGAGGTAAGGGTTGGACTTTGGGGGCTTACAGTACCAGGTGTTCCCAAGCGGTCCCCATCTAAGTACTGACCTGGCTCTAACTGCTTAACTTCGGTGATCGTACGAGAACCGGTGTTTCAGCATGATTTGACCGTAAGCTCTGGTGAAAATCCAAGGAGCGTCTGCATCAGTAACCGGCGGCTTCTGGTCGTTCCTGTCTCTGCGTCTGTGGGAACCCTGCGGCAAGCAAGAACGTTATTCGAGTAGGCCTGGGTACCCTACTTCTGTAATTTATCCCAAGAATCTTCTTCTCATAACAGGAAGAAGCCGGCTCAATCCGCCCAGGGTGAATGCCGCATCAGTACAGTAGTAGTAGTACTCAGAGACTCTGGCATTGGCATGCAACTGAGACATCTAGAGGGAGCTGATCAGGTGCTCAGTGACCATACAACCTTACACTGGAAAATCATTTACAGAGACTCAGGCATTGGCATGCAACTGAGACATACAGAGGGAGCTGGTCAGCTGCTTAGTGATCATACAACCATATCTGGTAATAGGACTGATGACGATTGTATTTAATAATTTTCTGTTCATTATTGCTACACTATTTCCTTTATGCATTTTTCATATCACTGCTCATTTGTATGGATGCCCTAAAGTGCATAAAATTAAGGATAAAATAATCACCATAAAAACCTATTATAGACTCAATTCATTCATTCAGTTATCACATTGTACCTAGTCAGTACTTAGATGGGAAACTGCTTCGGAACACTGGGTAGAATAAGCTACCTCCTACAATCTGAAATACGTTTCAGTTTTAAATAAAACAAAAATGATTGATTAAGGATAAAATAACCACCAAATGGTTGATTAACAAATTAATCAGTCAGTTATCAGTTTGCTAAATCTCTCAACAGTTTATTAGAACCATGTGTTTAAACTAGAATTTTTCCAATCTTGAGCTGTTATGGTAAATTTTCACCATATTTAAATATTTTCAGATGAAAATTAAGGCAAAAATGACAATATTTTTATGTATGTTTTTTCTATTTTATTTTTGTTAACCCTTTGATCCCTGAACAATTTTAACCCTTCTGCCTGAGCTCCCGATTCAAAATTTGCAAATAATTGTAATTTGTAATGTTTCATGGTAGATATAAAAATAGTTACAATTGTTTACCCACTGTTCAAACAGTGGATGGGCATTATGACATTTTTCTCTACCACTGGTAAATCAGTGGTTAGGGCTCAAAGGATTAAGACTAATTTCTGCTTTACTTTTCTTCAAACGATCATTTTTTTCCAAATTCAAAAACAAGATACTCTGTTCCTTCATTTTCTATGACTAACAATGTTGAAAAGATTTCAGGTAAATTTTTTTTTAAATATTTCCATTTCTTTCTTTTGTTTGTATCTAACAAGTTACTTTTATTAACTGCCAAAGTGTTTGCTTGTCATATGACAGGTTTTGTGTTTAAATTTTGGGAATATACCGTTTCTCATTTTGGGCCATCAATACTTCAGCTGTTTCAGGCATCACTTGTAAATTTAAGCAAGTTTTAGTTAAGTAAGGAAAGTTGACGCAATGCCCACTTGACTTTTGAAATGAGTTGCGAAATAACAAACTATATATTTCAATAATTCAATATGTGATACAGCTTTTCAATTTGTAACACTCATTTTGAGAGATAAATTTGTTGGTTTTCTTACAAAGTTAACCTAACATTTCTTCATCAAAATATAAATGGGAATAAAACTTAATGTGAGAGAGAGATTTCATTTGACCCGCGAGTAGCAGATTCTCCAGGCCCTCCTTCCTCATTATGTGTCCCAGAAATTTCAGCTCTCTCTTTAATTCCACCAGTTCTAACTTTCACGGATAAGGCCCATGCACACTGTAGTGAACCAGCCTCATTCCTCTCATATTCCATTGATGAGATGTAAGTTCCACTTGAACAGCTTCTTCTCACAAACTGCTTTGTGGAACTGACTCTCAAAAGAATACTCCCCCAATCATTACAATGTTAACCTGTTCAAGTCTAGGGGTCAACAGTTATCTTCCCCCACATATCTTCCTAAACTGAGCCTCTTACTCTTGGGCCTCGTACAAAAAATTCACTTACTTTCTGCTATGAAAGGCTAGAAATGTCACTCCCAACAGAGTAGCAGAAGGAACAGCAATAAGTTAAATGATGACAATTTCCAATTTATGCTGTTTAGATTATGCCTCATACAGTCCCCTGTAGATTTGTCTATGGCTTATTAACTCTCTTAGTATTACTGGTTATGAGATATGATTTTGGAATTCTAGAACTGTTATATTTTCGTAAAAAAAAAAAAAAAAAAAGAATAAAAAAGGAAACTAGCTTTCTTGTCCACGTGACTTTTCACACGTTCCCATTCCTCTTCAAAAGCTGCGTTCTTCTTCCTTTTCATTCTAAATTGTTTCCTTTGTTGATTACTGACTGCTGTGAATTAAGTTCAGTAAAGCCTTAAGAAAAGGTTATTCTATCCTAGCTTTCTTCTCTGTACTACATAACAAGAACATATACAAACGTTTCGGCCACTGTGCCCTTCCTCAGGTGTCAGGGTTATCAATCTGGATAACCTACAGTGAATTCTGAACCAAACCCTTTATTTAATCTACAAGGGTAGACTGTTCTCATTCCACTACTCATTTCTAGGGATATCGTCTAGTTCTTATTTTTATTTAGTTTCCACTGAGTAGAAGTACCCACGGATTGAACTCACAATCACTGTCACCAAATTCAACCAAATCAACACTTTAAACCACTAGGCCATTTTCCAATAGATTGATATACATCTGAGGAAGAGCACAACAGCCAAAACACTGTGATAACAACAACAAAGATTAGGGCAATAATCCGGATAAAATGGTATAAATAATGATAACTCCTCATCCCAGAAATTAAAACTGGAACATTTGCAAAGTCATAGATTTATGGCGATTATAGTTATGGGATGAATATTAATGCTGGGTATTGAAATAAAGTGCTACCCAATTGCAGGCACATTCAGCCACACCCAGACTGTAAGTATATGAAATTTGTGGATATATTTGAGCACTTCCAGCCTTAAAAGTTTAAATCGGCAATGAAATTGAAACAACAAATTGGTTTTAAATTTGATCTCCGCTCTCAATTGTCATTCTGCATAGATGCATGAAATGAAGGCAAGAAACAGGATTTACCTTTACCAATTTTAATTTCCAATAATTTTGATTGCATCCATTTTTTTTTTTTTACATTACCAAGAACAAATGTTGGAACAGAGTAAGGACATCAACGTGCAAGTCCTTGTTGTTAAACAATATTATCAGTAAGAAATTATTTCTAACAGGTTTCATTTTTTTTTCTGTATGATAAGACTTTAAAAAAACTTTGAAATTCTTTATTGGGAAAAGATTGCATATATGTTTTGTATTTTTTTACAGAATTGTTAATTTTATTATCTTAATCATTTTTTAACTACAAGCCGAAAATTTTAAAATTACTTTTTTTTCCAAGAAAATGTTATATTGAACAAAATACTTGATTTGTTTTTTTGTTGTTGTTCTTCATTTAATTATCTTCCTTTAGAACTGTGTCACTCTTCCATGAAGAGATAAAAAAGATTTATATAAAACTGTTTGCTGTGATTTTCTTTGTTGTTGTTCTTCATTTAATTATCTCCCTTTAGAATTGCGTCACTCTTCCACCAAGAGATACAAAAGATGAAAGTCGACCAGTCCGTATATTTCAACTGCTCAACTGGCCCAAATCAAACAAGGTGCCTCCAAACACAATGTCATTTGCCTACCTCCTTGGTCTGGTAGAAGAATGGCAAGCCCAGATCAACTCAAACAGCCCAGTTGTGGTCATTTCAAAGTAAGTAGTCTTATTACATGTTTTATGCAGAATGCAAAGATTAGGGAGGGTTGAAAACTTCTGGCATATAAAATACCTTTCACTTTATGCTATCCTATAACTCAGTGAAGTGTCATGACATTTGACATTCAGTAGATCTGTTTTTGCCATCTGTTCCAGTCTTTTGCATTTCTCTGATATTTACAGATGCTTGAATCTGTCAGTTCTCTTTTGATACTGTCCTCTGTTATGCATGAATGAACTCACCCAGCTATAAATAGAAGCAGGTACTGCCTTTCTGGAGAGGGAAGTTTCCAGCAATCAGCTCTGACAGTCAGACTGAACATTCTTGCTGTAACATTCTCGTTTATATATGTTTCTATTACTGTTTCTGTTAATATATTTGTTTAACACAATTCTTCTCTTTGTGTCTTTATTTCTGGCCCTAACAAGGCCGCAACATCCTCTTTACTCAATTTTATTCAAAAAGTATCAAAGAGATGCCTAGTAAGTGACAACAGGTCATTGGAAATAATGGTGAATATATTAGTTGATAAACAAAAACAAACATTATTCCTTAAAAGCTAAAAGTACAATTACATTTTTTATTATATATATATATATATATATATATATATATATATATATATATATATATATATATATATATATATATGTGTGTGTGTGTGTATATATCAGGCGGCCAGAATGGTGTTGGCGGTCCCTGACTGCATGCGCCTTCTGTCGAACTCTCTGCGTTAGCAGAGAGGAACCAGACGAGTTTTGCCGAAGGGCAAGGTTTCGTCGGGGGAGGTAGACAGGGCCTGAACCCGTCTAGGCGGGTTCAAAGGCTATATTTACAGCCAGGCCTACGGGCTCGGGGATACCCACATTAAAACCGGCCTTGTGCCATATTCGGTCCTCGTGGGTGGAACGATAAATACTGTATATCAGGCGGCCTGATGATTGCATCTAACATGAAACAGCCTGTCACTTCTGAGTGTTGACTTCAATGTTCACTTTTATATTTATATACGCTCTGATATTGAGCACTTTATCCCATAAATATAGCACACCTTAAAACTATATTTCCTTTCATATATATATATATATATATATATATATATATATATATATGGTATATTTAGGCCACAAGTATTCATCCAAATAAGTCTGATTAAATAGAACCAACAAGGTTAATCTATTTAATTTTTTATTATACTTTTCCAACTTCCAGATAAGATGTTGAGTATTATGTTTGAAGTTGTGGATAAACTGTCTGAAGTTCAGATTTTGTTATTTTTACTCAAGACTTTCAATTTCCATAGTCATTATCAAGAACCGATGTGTGTGGTAGTTAGGATTCCTTTGTCTACATCCTGGTATTCTTTGGGAAGTTTGATGTTTGAAATAATCTGGAATGATATCATCTGTAATGACTATTGAGAATGAGGGTGTTCAAAAAGAATGCAATTTATTTACTTTAATTGTTTTTTTATAATGCAAATATATAATATGTGCACACATTAATTATATCGTACACACTTCAACATACCATCTGCTGTGTTGAATGATATTTTATTCTATGTGGGCTGCTTATTTTGAATAATAATTGCTTCTAGATTTTTGAGCCTTTCCCTGAATTGCGTATTATAGAGAGTATTTTGGTGTTGTCTGCTAGTATGTGTGTTAGGTTGATAGTTATATTAGGGTCATTCATGATGTGCTGGTTGATGTGTGCACAGATTTTCAACAGATATATATATATATATATATATATATATATATATGCATGTTTCATTAAAAACATTTGGACAGTTTCTACACACTCTTTGTCCAAACACAAGAAAATTAAATAAAAAGCATAACCTTAGTACCTTGCCTGTCTGTCGTTTTTAATGAAACATGCATAAATGAAGGATTGCTTCCTAAATACACTATATATATATATATATATATATATATATATATATATATATATATATATATATATACATACACACACACACCGTCATCCACAGACAGAGAGTTTTGTTGTATCACAGCTCATCAGTGTAGCTAGACATCTGATTACTTCAGGCCAGGACTGAAACCCGACCGATTTGGTATCAGAGATTCTAACTCCTAGGCCATCAACACCCAGCAGAGAGAGAGGTGAATTTTTGCATATTTATTTTTCATAAACACACCAGTTACTCAGAGGCTTAGTTGGCTTGGAGAGTCTTGCATTATCAGCGGTAGCAGTGACTGTTTACAAATTCGCTTTACTACCCACATGCACACACACACACACACACACACACACGCATATATATCTGCACTTTCGATTTTTTTTAACTGTGCATTGAGCACTTTTTTAACATAACTGTTTCCCAGGCAATATATATTTTCTTGTTTGTAAAAACAGATTTATTGTTTATATATATCTATATATGATAATCAGTTAATGCAAGGTCAAGTGAATATAGGTAGAATTTTGGACCTTGGATGTTCTATGGTCAAAAATTTATCTTGTGTTATTCTTGCATTGTCATGGAGGAGAAAAATATTTTTCCTATTGATGAGCACAAGGTGCATTTTGACCAAACTTTTATGGACATGTTGCAGCTGCTGGACATATAAATGGACATTTAGAATTTCAATGTGTTTTAAGAGCTTTCAGTGAGTAATAACGATGAACCCACCACACACACACACACACACACACACAGCCTTTGTTCAGCTTTTAGGGTCAGTTATGAAGATTTAGCCTTGTCAATCCACTGACTTTAGCAGAGCATGTGCTATCACTTCTTTCATTCCAGTTCAAGATTATCAGTACTGTTTTAGAAAGATTTATCTTGACTCCTATTTCTTGGAATATGTGGTAAAGAATGATGATCTTTTTTTTTTTTTTTTTTTTTTGGTTAAAGAATATTCTTATCTCAACTATGAATACCTATGTCATCAGCATATCCTCAAACCCTTATCATCACACTGGCCTCTGGAGGAAAAACAGGAACTCTAGTTTCTATTAGTAGACATGTTTGGGATGTAGTATGGAATGTTTAAATGAACAACGCACATTTCTTCATGGATATTGTTGTGGTAATATTTAAATACATCAAATGTCATTAGATTTGCAATTGTGAGTGTAAAAATGTTGATTTCATAAAAAAGTTAAATGCAATGTCAATCATTATCTACTGTCTTCTTTGTTCCTCCTTTTGATTTTTCTCACTCTTAATGTTTTTCTTTCACATTCAGTAACCCCCTTGTGTCTTAGTGACTTTATTGCTTTGCATATGGGGGTGAAGTGATTAAAAAACAAATTGTTATATTCCGTGCTAATAGGAATATATACTTGAAAACACAGTGGATAAAATAAGTAAAGGTTTATTGTAAAAAAACAGTACAATAAGAAATAAGGTAACAGTTATGCACACGATCATCGCAAGTCAATCCAGTAGTGAGCGCTACTATTGGAAGGTCGGTAGTTCTTTCATAAGTCTGAGTCATACTCAGGAGATCCCAGCTAGACTCTGTAGTCAGTTGACTTACCGATACTTATAGTGTTGTTATTCATGGGGGTGACAGGTTATTCCATTACATCACAAATATATATAGTAATTTTTAAACAATGAATGGATTTTTAATCAGTCATTCTTATTAATAACTATTATTTGCTTTAAAATTACTTTGTACATTTCTGGTACAGAAATCAAGTCAGCAGATATAGGCTTCAAAAACTCCCAAGAAAAAAATGTACATGTCTTAAATCGAGTAATTGAATCTTTCTTTGCTGTGATGGTTTCCTGTAGCTTATTGATAATGCATGCTTGGCTTAAAAATTAGATTAAAAAGAGAATATAGGTTCATTTCATGAAATATTTTGGGATGGCAGACATTATTTGTATATTTATTGTATTATTAGTATAATGCAGTTGTTTGCACTTCTTGATTATTGTAGATTTTACAAGCACACAGGGATATTGACTAATATATATTTTTCTTTTTGCAGGGATGGTTACAGTAGATGTGGCATGTACTGTGCCATCAGTATATGTTGTGACCGACTCAAAGACGATCGTGAGGTGGACATAATGAATGCTGTACGTGTTGTTAAGAAGAACAGGCCACAGTTAGTACCAACATTGGTAAGTAAAAACCACTAAATCTGTTGAAATCTAAAGGTCAGCAACTAATGAACGCCAAGAACAAATTGGGTAATGCAAATTATTTTGCAGTACCTATCAACATGTTTGGATTCATGCCTTTCATTATAGGGTGAAAACAAACAGTGCCTTGGGTAGAATTTGAACTTAGTTTGTCAGTCCTATTTCCTGTGTTAGTAACAGGTCTTCATCTAATGAAGGCCAAGAATGAATTGTCTGAAGAGGAAATGAAATGGGACTAGTGGTAATAGTAATGGAGAAATTACCTGTTTCAAAACAGAAAATGTACAGCATTCGTTGAACGAAGAGTTAACATTACTATCAATTGAAATTTATAAAATCTTCCTCTTAAAATAGATATCCAGGAAATCAGACTTCTCTTGTTCACTAAATGTTATAGCTCTTTCTAGTATTGATGGGCTTTGATTTGAGAAAACTGCAAAAGCTAACAAGCAGATGTCCTTCCTATTTAGTCATACAGATACGTTCATTGTTATACAATTTAATAGTAAAACCATTTGCAACAGTAAATGGTAAAATTCTATTTCCAGCATTCATTGACTAAACAGTCAGCATTACTGTCAGTTGAAATATATAAAATCTTTTCATCAAAACAATTTTTTTTCAGGAAATTTAAACTTCTCTTGTTCACTAAATGTTATAGCTCTTTCTAGTATTGATGGGAATTTCCTTCCTAACCTTTTGTTATTTGTTAAACCTCTTTGCTTGTGATTCTGGTCAGATAAAGGGTTTCCTGGGTAAGACGATAAACTATGTCCAACAGCAAGGCCTCTGATCAGGAGGTTTTGAGGCGTGTGGTGTTCCTAGGTCCACTCTGACTTGGGGTGGTAGCACCTGTTAGGGTCCCAGCTATGGGCAAATAGTTAACCCTCAAACTGGGGTCAAAACACGATGAAAGTGTAAAAATAGGTTTTAATACCAGAAATACTTTGTAAAAAAAGTTATTACCAGCAATACATTTTTGAAAAAAGATATCAGCTATACTTTTTAGAAAAAAGAAATTACAAGTGATACATTTTTGAAGAAAAAAATTTTTACTAGCAATACATTTGAAAAAAAAAATTATCAGCATTAAATAACCAATTGAGGTTAATATGCCATAAAACAAAACAAACCAAATCAGATAAAGGTACTTATAAGCACTTTTGGAGAACGTTACAATTTTTCACGGATTCTAACTATTCACAGTTCTGGTCCCTAACCCCCATGACTATGGGGGATTCACTGTATTTCTATTTATTGTAAACTAAATTAGCACGTATTTCAACACAATTATAGTAAAAAAAAAAAAAAAAAAAAAAGATTTTTTATAACCAGCATTATCAAAATAAATATGAGTTTGTCATATTGATATCATTTCAGTTTATGAAACTATTTAAAAGTTATAGCATCTAGAAAATTAAAATCATTGCTTTATAAAGATTTCTAAGATTTAAACATTCTGAACTAAAATCAAACATATTATCTACTCAAAGACCACTCAGTCATCAACAAATTCATGCTGCCAGACATGATTTTATGAGCAGTCACTATTCCTTAAATGAACAATGGCACAAACTAAAACTATCTTTTCTTGCTTTGTTTCTTGTAAAGTCAAATAAATATGAGTTTGTCATATTGATATCATTTCAGTTTATGAAACTATTTAGAAGTTAAAACATCTAGAAAATTAAAATTATTGCTTTATAAAAGCTTGAGGGATCCCTAGGCTGCAACCTATAATAGCCTGAAGGATAATCCAGCCCAATCAACAATGCTATTTAGTTTTTGCAGATCCCCTATTGTTTCTATTCTTGGCCTTACTACATGTGTCATTGAAAAATACATTGGCACTGAAGGTGTTAATGAGTATTATCAATCTTTATACAATAAACACAAACTTGTTAAAATATGTGTAACACACAGACAAACTTATAAATAACTAACATATAAGTGTGTGGGGGTGGGAGCAAGAATAACAAAATAAAGTCATTATAAAGAGGTGAAGTGAAAGGAGAGAATAAAAAAAAAAAAAAATGGGCTCACCAGTTTTAGTCCCCATTCTTCAGAGAAAAAAAAAATCTCTTGGATACTAGATATTGAAGCCTGTTCAGATGTATAGTGCTTAGTACTAGTATAACTATGCTGATCAAGCAATGTTAGGTACTTAGCTGTTTCCATACAAGGAAGAATTTGGTATTCATTGATCAATCAGCCAGTACTGTTTTTGCCACTATTTTACTATTTATTGCAAATTAGCACATTTCAACATGGCCATAATTAAAAAAGAAAAAAAAACTCTCTTGGATACTAGATATTGCAGTCTAATGGATGAAATGAGTCACGAAAAATTTTCCAGTTTGTCATATTTTTCTAAATAGCTTGAAGTAAACTTATTGCAAATTCTTTAAATAAACTAGAATAGCAATCTTTTGTTTGTCAAAAAAAATATTCTTTAAGAAATACCACTATTTTACTATTTATTGTAAATTAGCACATTTCAACATAACCATAATTAAAAAAGAAAAAAAATGGAGTTTTTATAACCAGCATTGTAACAATAAAACAATCTTTTGTTATATTGATATCATTTCAGTTTATGAAACTATTTAGAAGTTATAACATCTAGAAAATTAAAATCACTGCTTTATAAAAGCTTGAGAGAGCCCTGGGCTGTAGCCTATACTAGCCAGATAGTAAAATTGTATTGCACCTAGGGCTGGACTAACTTCATTTCTACCCTTTTTGCTATGTCTTATTTTAACTAAGCTTCATAAGTATGTTAACACATTGACTAGCAGAGGTCAGTTACGAAATCTGACTTCAAACAACAACTTTATAATAGTGAACATGGGAAATAAAAATTTTTATGAGTTGATTTATAGCCTCAGCTGAAGATTGTTATTTTAACTATGTTCACTCTCTCGGCAATGTTTATTTACAAGATTATAAAAAATTACTTACCTTTTGTAAACATTTATTATTCACCATTTTATAAAGAAATAAATGTATAAAAAAATCTTTTTCTTCAAAAATTTAATATTTATCAGAATATGTAAAAACTTTCTGCAATGCAATATTTATTATTTACCGTTTTTCAAATAACTATAAAAACAAGTTTTTTATTCATAATTTTATGTCAATGAATTATAAAACAAAATTTGAATAAATTGGATTTTCTGGACACAATACATTTTCTTCCCAGATTATTTATTTTATTTTTAATATTTTTTTAAAATAATATGAATATAAAATATAAAAAATTTAATACTTTAATTTAAATTTAATAATTTTATATAAAATAGAATATAAATTTCATCATTATTTTTTAATTTTTGTTTTATTTTATTTTTTAATTTTTATTTTAATTTGTTTGAATATTTTATTCATATGTTTGGGTTTTATTAAAATTCTAATCATTGCTTTTAAAAAAAAACAAACATTGCCGAGGAAGTGACATTTTTAAAATTTACAGAGTTTACATATTTTTATAATTTTTGAATAAAAAGACCTATGACAGCTGTATTCAATGCACAAATGAATATGTTTGGTTATCCAAAATTAAAACAAGAGAAAATTAGTCAAACAGTAATAATAATAATATTAATCAATTCTGGGCAATGTTTAATCTTTGTGCTTGTAAAATAAAATGCTATGTCAAAAGGCTTTTCCCTTGACACTGCTATTATTTTATTCTACATTCACTGAGTAATGTTTATTCATAAAATTATAAAATATTTGAACCAAGTAAAACACAATATTTAATATTTACCTTTTATAAAGATTCATTATTTACCATATTATAAAAAAACATCTGTAAAGAAATCTTTTTATTCAAAAATTTTTAAAATTACAAAATTATCAAAATGTGTAAACCATTTACACAGTGTTTCAAAAGTCATGCGACAATTAGCAGAAAACCTACACTTGTGAAATAGCAGCCAGGGAAAATTTGCATGACATCATCTTCTATAATTTGACCAATAAAGTTTCTTAATAATATATTGTCACATATAAAAATATGATTCCATTTGGCAAATATAAAATTTACAAGGTTATCAATGGTAATATGACTTTTGAACACCCTATACAATGTAGAAGACTGCCAGCATATTCCAAATAACCAACTCAATCTTTGCTATGTTAGCTGCCTTCATGTGCAGCTTCTATATACTATTAGTAATTTTAAAAGAATTAATGGATTTATTTTTAATGGATACCAGTGTTTCAGTAGATACCCTGTTTAATATAATACTAATTTCTACCAGATTTTAATCAACATGTCTCTGCCAGTGTGACAAAAAAAAAGAAAAAAAATTACATATTTTGGAAGCCCTTTACCTTTAAAGAAAGCAATTCACTATTGAAACTATTTCCAACTTTAAACTGACAATACAAATGCCACTGGTTATTTCTGGATTTTCAATCTATCCTTCATAACAAACAATGAGGATCAGTAGACAGACTTCAGTATTTATTTCTGAAAAAAAAATTACTTAACAACTTGCCAACTGAACAAGAATATAGAGGGTGTTCCAAAAGTCACATAACAATTGGCAGAAAACATAAAGCTGTGAAATAGCAAACAGAGAAAATTTGCATGACTTCATCTTCCATAATTCGACCAATAAAATTTCTTAATAATATATTGTTACATATAGAAACATGATTCCATTTGGTAAATATAAAATTTACAAGGTTATCAATGGTAATGTGACTTTTGAACACTCTATACAATGTATAAGACTGCCAGCATATTCCAACCCAATCTTTGTTATCTTAGCTGCTTTGATGTGCAGCTTCTACATATGCTTAGTAATTTTTAAGGAATTAACCGATTTATTTTTAATCTGATATTTTTATTACTGCAAACATTATTTTTTAATTGATACCAGTGTTTGAGTAGATACCTTGTTTAATATAATACTAATTTCTACCAGATTTTAATTAACATGACAAAAGTTCTCTGCCACTGTGACAAAAAAGAAAAAGAATTTACATATTTTGGAAGCCCTTTACCTTTAAAGAAAGCAATTCACTATTCAAACTATTTCCAACTTTAAACTGACAATACAAATGCCACTGGTTATTTCTGGATTTTCAATCTATCCTTCATAACAAACAATGATGATCGCTAGACAGACTTCAGTATTTATTTCTGAAAAAAATTCCTTTACAAGTTGCCAACTGAACAAAAAGCAACTAATTTGAAACCAGGAGAAAGGCCCAACATTAATAAGATGGAATAAAACTAGAAATCAAATAATAATAAAGAGTGTCTTAATCTAAACTATTCTTAGTAATAACAGAACAAGAAGAATGTATTAAGAAAATAATGCATTCTTTCAATCTCCTGATGCTACATTTTTTAATTGTCATGTGCTAAGGAGTTCCTAAAGTTTTAGCCTCTATTGTACAGGGTGTTCCAAAAGTCACATGACAATTGGCAGAAAACACATGCTTGTGAAAATAGCAATCAGGGAAATTTTGCATGACATCATCTTTCATAATTCAAGCAATAAAATTTCTTAATAATATATTATCACATATAGAAAAATGATTCCATTTGGTAAATAAATATAAAATTTATAAGGTTATCAATGGTAACAAAACTTTTGAAACACTTTGTACATCCAGCAGAAAAGCTTTTGATCAGGAAGTTTTAAGGAGCGTGGGAACACCTCTTAATTGCTGTTGTTCCCAGGTCCAAACTGACCCCGGATTATAGCACTTAAAAAGTTCCAAAAGTCATGCATCAATTGACAGAAAACATACACTTGTGAAATAGCAATCAGAGAAAATTTGCATGACTTCATCTTCCATAATTCAAGCAATAAAATTTCTTAACAATATATTATCACATACAGAAAAATGATTCCATTTGGTAAAGGTTATTAATGGTAATACGACTTTTGGAACACTCTGTACAATGAAATATTATGAAATATCAATAAACTTGACCAAAAATTTGCAAAGTTTGAACATCCATTTTCATAATAGGCTTTGATAACTCAACAATCAAAAAACATATTAAAGTTATTGAAGCCTATTACGAAAATAGACGTTCAAACTTTGTGATTTTTTTGGTCGACATAATCAGCCAACCGAGAGTGCAATTGGAAATGATGTAACATTGTTGTGGAGAGGTTCAATTCCTGTGTGTGATGATGAATAGAGGGGTCTGGATTTTTGGCCACATCCTCATGCATTGCAGCAATGTTTTCAGCTGGACAGTGTAAACGAGCATGCAGTGGTGTTTTCACATCTGCCACCGACCCAGTTTGTTTGAATTTATGAAAAATTTTTCCAATTGCACTCTTGAAACTATAACATGTTGTTTGATTGGCAATTTCAACCATGAAAAGATTAACAAAGACTTAATCTGAAAGAAAAAGGAAAAAAATCATTAGATGCTTAAACTTAATTCACATTTAAAATCGGTCTAAGTTATTGGAACACCCTTTACAAAATATAATTTCTTTAACACATTGAATGCCAATTATGAGTCAACACTTATTCATGGTCAATAGTCAATGTTTTACAGAAAAGGAGCAATAATTTCTTGAAATAAAGAAACAACAGAATTAATGTTTTTTTCCCAAAATATTCTCTTTGCAGGCTGAATACAACTACTGTTATACCTTCATTGGATCTCTATTGGAACATTTGCAAGAAATTGGCCCGAAGATAGTTGTCACAAACCCAGAAGGTAGTAAGGAAACTGATAACAATGACCAAGAAGAAGGTGCCAGTGAGGGCCGCCGTTCTTCTCGAAGAACAAGTGATTCCTCTTCCTTTTTAACTGCTTTGGACATGGATACATCATTCAATATTGGGAACCTCACTCAGTTCCACTCAGCCTTATCTCCCTTGCACCTCCCGCCTTGTAGTTCTCCGATGACAAGGAATGCTGTTCTGTCAGCCACAGACACTTGTAGCCTCTATGATCTGGAGAGCTCACAGACTTTTTTAAAAGTTCCGTGGCCTCCACGTGAAAATATTAATGGGAGGCCCCATATGTTTGAGGCTAACAATAACTGTATTCGAGAATCGGTGACGCTTCCTTTTCGCAACAAAGCAAGAAATATTGCTAAGTCCGCATGTAACAGTCGAGCAAGCAGATTTATTAGAATACCTTCTGCTGCCATTCGTAGAAAAGATGATGACATTCGTGATGAGGAAATAAGAGGCTGGGAAATGCAGGAAGTAATGAATGGAATTTGTGGGAAGCCCACTGCAAGGGCATTTCTCTCAGGTACTCGAAAACCGCTCAGTCATCGACAAATTCATGCTGCCAGACACGATTTTATGAACGGTCACTGCTCCTTAGAAGAACAACACCGGAAGAGACATGAGCAAATTGAATGAAACTTGAAACTAAGGAATATTTTGGTAGCACTTATCTTTTGGAAACAAATACCTGTTATCTGGCAATGACCAATGCCTGTTTTTGATTATGTTGTCCATAGACAACACTTTGGCAAACAAAAATAGGTGGCAACAGCAACAGCATTCTACGTTGCTGAAATAGGTCCATGCATGCCAGACCTGACCAGTATTTTGACCCTTATTCCATGGGGAAATTGATGGAAAGAAGTGTTCTCTCCAAGGCTGGTGTTATTATATCAATATGAACGTCAGAGCTGGTCCCAGAGAGTAGAGAGGTGTTTCATTTTAAAAGAAGGGGGGACAAAAAAAAAAGGAAGAAACACAATATTTTTTTAAACCATTTATTTAAAATGGTTCTATTCATTGTGTATTTTTCTTTTACTTTATTTTTTGGGTGAGTGTATACAAAACAATTTTTTTTTCTTCAAATTTGAAACTAAA